CTAAGAGCCACCCTCCAGCCTGGGACCTGGATCCCCTGCCCTTCCCATTCTTAGGGATGGCACCTCCCCATACCTCATTGAAATCCTCTCTGATCTTGGGCTTTTCCTCTTTACTGGTTCTTGCCTCTCAGCACTCTAGCAAGCTCCTACACCTCTTGCATGTTAAGAGGAAATCCTCCTCCTATTCCATGTTCCCATCTGGCTGCTATCCATATTTTCTCCATTACTAAAATGTTTGAAAGCATCTGACTGTGTTTCCTGTCTCTGCTTCCCAGAGTGATCAGCCTCCACTCCCACCTTTTGCTGAAACGACATTTGACAATGTTATCAGTGACCTCATTGTTGCTTCCTTTTCATCTTTATCTGACGTGACCTCTCTGACATGTTTGACATTGTTGAGCAATTTCTTCCTAAAAACAGGTTCCCTTGGTTTTGCATGAGTTCTGCTTCTCTCTCAACCGACTCTAGATGCCTGTGCCTGCTCTCCCTGGTACAATTGATGACATTTCCTTGAGTTCCAGACTTCCGACCCCTCTTCTCTTCCTGTTCCGCACACTTTCCCTGAATGTCTTCCTCCATCTCCAAGGAGCCAGTCACCACTTTGTACATGTTACATTTGCTTTCAGCCCTGTCCTCTCCTTAGACTTCTAGATTTCTGTATTTGTTTGCCCACTGGCAGTTTCCAGAGGAGGGCTGAAGTAATAGACAGCAGGTAGGGCCTTTGCCTTGCATGCGGCCAACCTGGGTTTGATTCCCAGCATCCTATATGGTCCCCTGTGCACCGCCAGAAGTAATTCCTGAGTGCATGAGCCAGGAGTAACCCCTGTGCATCACTGGATGTGACCCAAAATAAGAACAAACAAAACTAGACTATTGTTTTTCCCACTGACCACGTATGGCCCTTGAGCACCTCCAGTATGTGGCCAACCCCTGGCCAGGATCAAACCTGGGCCAGCCACAAATTAGGCAGGTGCCCTACCCACTATACTGTCACTCTGGCCCTATAGATTTTCTTGACCTCTTTTGAAACATAATGTCCATTGCAATACTTTTTAGTCTTGTGCTTATGTATTTCACAATCCACAGCATTATCAATTTATATTAGAAATACTTGGCTTTCCACACTACCAGCACAAATCATATTCTTTTGCTTTGTTTCGTGTAAGTGATTAGGCAACTGTATAAAACTCATAGGAAATTAATGACTCATGTAACGGAAAGCATTTACTAATGTGACTTTTGTCTCAGTTGCCAAGTAGACTGTTTGTTTCTATGGTAACCAGTGAGCCTAACATACTGTCATGAACTAACTTCGCTGCTTTTGTTTGTATGATTTGTTCAGCCTTCGTACAGCTGTGTGCATGTGGATGTGTATAGATGTGTTTACGAACACATTGAAGATCATCAAAAAAATTAAAGATCATAATCAAAAAATGCTCTGAATGCCTTAGATGAACACATTTTTATAGAAAATATGGTGTTGTATTCTAGGGCTATTATTTTTATGTTGTATAATAAAAATATTTCAATTACCATATTTTTCCACCTAACTTTTTGTTTGTTTGATTTTTTTTGCTTTTTGGGTCATACCCAGCAATGCACAGGGGTTACTCCTGGCCCTGCACTCAGTAATTACTCCTGGTGGTACTCAGGGAACCATACGCGATGCTGGAAATTGAACCCGGGTCGGCCGTGTGCAAGGCAACCATCCTACCCACTGTACTATTGCTCCAGCTCCCCACCTAACTTTTTTATTAAGAAAGTTCATGGTGGTCAGTTTTCAATCGGGACCACTCCCAGTAGGGCCTGGAGGCAGGTACCCTGGGCCACCCCAGAGATGCTCAGTCTGGTGATGAGAGCCTGCTGGTTCAGTACTTGGGCCTGGCAGTTCTTATCCTTCAGGGCTACCCCATAGTAGGGTCCACTAGAGCTACATCCCGTGGTACTCAGGGAACCATGCAGTCCTGGGGATTGAACTTGGGACCTTACGCCTACTAGGTATGTACTCTCTACCACTTAAGCTCTCTCTCTCTCTCTCTCTCTCTCTCTCTCTCTCTCTCTCTCTCTCTCTCTCTCTCTCTCTCCAGTCCAGTCAGCAGCTTACTTATTTTAAGCTTACTATCCTTCTTTATCTGTTTTTGTTTGGGACTGTAACAGTGCTCTGTGCTCCTGACTGAACTCAGGGATGACTCTTCTGGTGCCAGCAATCAAATCTGGGTCTGGCAATGGCCCTTCCCCATTTTACTGTCTCTCTGGCCCTAAACTAACCGAATGTAAACAATCGTTTATAATACTGGTTCATTGGAAATACATCTGATCATTCAATCTTCTGGAAGCCAGGCGAGAAATAAATAAAATTATGACTTTTTCTGGGAAAGAGGCTGAGTGACGTGATGGAGAAAATCAACCCAGCCGGTCCTCGCCTTTCTCTGGTGGCATCCTCCTGGGTGTGGAATGGGAGATAGCCGAGGCCGACCGGGTCAGGGGGACAGCCGGCTCTCCACTGACAGCTGAATTGGGAAAAGGTTCCTTCTAGAAGAAGTAGTTAGTGGAAGTTGAAAGAGAAAGTAGATGATTCAAAGAAAAGAAAGTAGCATGATCAGAGGCGCAGCAAAGAGGAAAAGGGGGAAGCACATGGGAAGCTGCAAGCAGAGTGAGACAGCAGCGGGTGAGAGACGAGATTGAAGAGGCAAGGGCCCGCTGCTGGGAGTGCGACCTGCTCACCTACTCCTGCAAGATGCCAGGAAGCAGAGAAGAGTTCGAGCAGAGGAATGGCATCACACTTGTGTTTAAGGAACAGCTCTGGTAGCGAGGAAGAAGGTAGATTTTGAAGAAGGGCCTAAGGCAGCTGAGATATTTCAAGGAAGAACAATTAAGGGATTGAATTAAGATGCTGGTGCTGAACGCAGAGAGGGGGTTGATGTAAGAATAGTCTCAAGGTAACATAAGTCAGACTCTGTAGCTGAGACTATTCATCTGAGGCCCATGCCTCACGTTCAGTCAGCAAATACCCTTGCCATTGTTTGGTTGGCTGGTTTGGGGCCACACCCAGCAATGCTTCGTGGTTACTTGTGGCTCTGCACTCAGGAATTACTCCTGGCGTTGCTCAGGGACTGTGTGGGATGTTCCAACCCACTCTTGCTTTTTTTTATATCTGTACTCAAAATCTCTAGCAAATTTCAAGTATATGGTACAGGATCATTAACTGCAGTGACCAAGCTGTCTGTTAGATCTCCAGAACTTAGTCATCCTCCATAATAGAACGTTTTACCCATTGACCAACATCACCCCAGCTCTCCCCCTTTTTCCCAGCTTGTGGCAGAGCAGGGCCCCTGCTCTGTGCTGCCCTAAGACCGACTGCTGTGCAGGCCACCTGGCAGGGGGCCATGCCATCTCTTCCTGCCTGGTCTGCTTCACTTGGCATGATGCCTTTCAGGGACATCTCTATTGCCACATTCCCTCTCGTCATATGACTGAATGATATTCCACTGTACTTATACCCCACGTTCTTCATCTGTTCATCTGTTAACTTGGTTGTGTATCTTGGACATTGTAAAATTAAGCTACAGTAAACACGGGCATACGAGTATCTCTTCAAAATAGTGTCTTAAGCTTTTGGGGATATATATTCAAAAGTGTGCGTGTTGATTCATATGGTGATTTTGTTTTGTTCATTTTGTAAGAAACCTCCTACTGTTTTTTCTGTGATGGCCATGTCAATTTATATCCCTGCCAGTGGTGTACAGTGTTGCCTTTTCTCCACATTTTCACTAATATTTAATATATTGCATAGTAAGTCAGTCTAACAGGTATGGTATGCTTTGATTTATATTTCCCTAATGACTAGTGATATTGAACTCTTTCACATGTACTTCACTTAAAAAATGGTCCTTGCCTACATCCTAATTGAGTTGCTTAATGTTTGGGTATTTTTTTATGTTTTCTTATAATAATTCTGCTGCTTATTTTTTATATCAAAGTCTTTGGTATATTTTTAGTTGATTTGTCTATGGTGTAAGGTAAGGGTCCAATTTCTTCTTCTACATGGAGACACCAGTTTCTCAGCTCAACTATCCTTTGTCATTTGTGTGTTCTTGGCACCCTTGTCAACAATCTGTAAATGGGAGCATTTATTTCTATTACACTCATCTGTATTTGTTTTTATGCCAGTATCATAGTTTCAATTGCTGTAAGCCCGAGATAAAAGTAAAGGTAAAGGCCCTCCCGTTGATCACCGATTTGCTCAAGCGGGCCCAGTAACGTCTCCATTGGAGACTTTGTTGTTACTGTGTTTGGCATATCGAATACGTCACGGGGAGCTTGCCAGGCTCTGCCGTGCAGGCGAGATACACTCAGTAGCTTGCCGGGCTCTCCGAGAGGGGCAGAGGAATCGAACTCGGGTCGGCATATTGTCTGTGTGTGCAAGGCAAACGCCCTACCCACTGTGCTATTGCTCCAGCTGTAAGCCCTACAGGGTTAGAAATCCTGTTATTCTTGTATTCATATTTTAAATACCTGGTACATACCTAACACACCTAAAGCAATGTGTATTGTGTATTGAATGAATGAATAGTAAAACCTCAGTTCATATTGATTATATTGATAAGTCAATTCACTTTTTTCCAGTTTCCTATAGATAGTAAAAACCAAAGATTTTCATACCGCAATGGTAAGAATTTGTGGAGGCCAGAATGATAGTACAGTGGGTCATGTGTTTGCCTTGCACATGGCCTACCCAGGTTTCATCCTCGGCATCCCATAGGGTCCCCCAAGCATCACAGGAGTCATTCTGAGTGCAGAGCTAGGAGTAACCCTTGAGCATTCCCAGGTGTGACCCAAAAAGCCAAAAGAAAAAGAAAATTTGTGCCTCCTGGTTACCATTTCCATATATTAGTTTTTAGATATCACATTTGCGTTATGGACTCGAGTGAAAGAGCATGTTTTCTTAACATGTCATCAGTAATAGTTAATTAACTGAGTTTTTTAATTTTTCCTTACAGAGAGGTGGTGCAGGCAAACTGTGTTCATTGGAGGAAGAAGTTCTCATTTATGTGCAAAATGAGTGCAAGTGCCACCACAGGCATCCTGGACCCCTGTGTCTACAGAGTATCTGTGAGAAAGGTATAAAAATAGCTGGTGACATCTCTACCTTCGAAAACCAAAATTAGCCCAGTAGTCACTTTGTTTAGCTCTGCATGATCATTAGAGCTGTTACATATAATTCCACTTCTCACATGCACAGCAGTAATTTAACTTGCTATGATAAGTGTATTGAGGAATCTGAAGTTATAAATTAAAGCATTATTCAAGACCCTTCATCTCACTGTCACTGGTAAGTGTTACCCTAACTTGGATTTGTTTGGGGGCTTGTAGAGCTCACTATGCCCTCTTTCATATCATTCCTTTTCTTTGTGAGGTATTGTTTTAGGGATCTTGCATTATTATTATGTATAATAAACTATAAATTTTTCAACCATATTCTTCCAAGAGCTTTCAGGATGGAGTATACAGACATGAACTATAAGTATGGGCAACAAGTTTAATGATAAATATGATGTATATTATATCGGGGAAAAAAGTTATTTTTTCCATTTTCAAGAAAATCAAGGTTCGGAGAGGATTTTCCTTTCCTGTATTCACCTTCATCTAGCTATAGGTGGCAGAGTAGGGAATCAGTCAGATCTTTCTGAATCAGGTATGTTTTCTTTTTTGTTTGTTGGTCTTTGAGCCACACCTGCAGTGCCCAAGGTCTTATTCCTATCTCTGTACTCAGGGTTCACTACCGGTGGACTCGCATCCCGTATGGGATGTGGGGAATTGAACCCATGTTTGGTGCATACAAGGCAAGGGTCCTTTCTGCTATTCACTCTCCAGCCTATGTATTTTTTTTCCTTCTTAAATTTTTATTAGTGAAACACCATGAGGTACAGTTGTAGACTTACAAATTTTTGTGCTTGGGTTTCAGTTATACAATAATCAAGTACCCATCCCTCCACCAATGCCCATTCTCCACCACCACCAGTCCCAGTATCCCACCCTCCCCCCATCCCCCCATCCCACCCTACCTCTGTGGCAGGGCATTTCCTTTTGTTCTCTCTCTCCTTTTGAGTGCTGTGGTTTGCAAAAGAGACATTCAGTGGCAATCTTGTTCGGTCTATAGTCTACTCTCATCACACATTTCCCATCCTGAAAGGAACCTCCCAACACCCTTTATTTGGTGCTTCCTTCTCTATCTGAGATGCCTTTTCCCCTAGCATGTGTGGCTGTCCTCAAAGCCATGGAGTAATCCTCCTGGTACTTATCTCGGCTATTCTAGGGTGTTAGTCTCCTATTTTGTTACTTTATGTTCCCCAGATGAATGCAATCTTTCTATGTCTGTCTCTTTCTTTCTGACTCATTTCGCTTAGCATGATACTTTCTATGTAGTACCACTTGAATATGAATTCCATGACTTCATCTTTTCTAACAGCTGCATGGTACTCCATTGTGTAGATGTACCAAAGTTTCTTTAACCAGTTATCTGTTCTCGGGCATCCAGGTTTTTTCCAGATTCTAGCTATTGTAAAGAGTGCTGCAATGAACAAACAAGTGCAGATGTCACTTCGACTATACTTTTTTGCCTCTCTGGGATATATTCCCAGGAGTGGTATTGCTGGGTCAAATGGGAGCTCAATTTCTAATTTTTTGAGGATCGTCCATACTGTTTTCCAAAAGCAGCCCCTGTATCCCCTGTATTTTAATATATTTTCATATGTTACAGTGAGACATATTACTAAAAACTTAAAAAAGGTAGTTTCAGCTATTCACCTTAATATATATATGCACACATATATGTATATCATCCTACTTTTTTTCCAAATAGAGGAATCCATTAGTTATCACTATTGTGAATTTAAATACTGGCTTTAAAATGCAAACTTTATTCCTCAACTACAATAAAACAACAACAGCAAAAAGAAAAAAACAGGGGTTTGAGAATTGTAGCAGATGAAAATGTTCTGCTTTTTGTTTCGTGTTCTGGATTTTAAGTAAACCGATAGCACTATGAAATGTGTGTTTATGCTTTATATTCCCTTACATTGTTTAACTATCCTGGTAAAATATGACATATATTTTTGTATTTGGTTTGTGTAGGTTATTTTTGGGGGGATGGGGAGATGGAGAAGTGGTGGCCATAACCAGTGGTACTCAGGGCTTACTTTTTGGCTGTGCACTCACGCATCTCTTCTAGCGGGGGCTTGAGGGGATCATCTGTGGTATCAGTGATTGAACCAGGATCTGCTGCATGCAAGGCAGGTACTATGCCCACTTCACCATCTCTCTGGCCACTTTGCATTTTATAGGTTTTTAGTCTTTCAGAAATTTAGACCTATAAAATAGTGCTACTTGGAGTGGGGGAAAAAAATCAAAAAAGCTTCTCTAAAGGAAGTATACTGTAATCAGAGTATACATGGCATTGTGAGTATGTAATGTGTTGTTTACTTGCTGTGAAAAATTGAGCAATTCTGAGTTTTTAAAATATCAGTTTCCTTTTCCAGAGATGATTCTAGTAACTGCTTGCTTGTGGAATTATAAGTGTTAGCTGAGATATAAATGAAGCTTCCTACCTTTTCTTTCTAAATTGCCACTATAGCTCTTACATTGAAACCTTTTTTAAATGGAGTTCTAATCAAAATCTTTGGAAGATGATGTGTTAGCCTTTGAATTTGAAGATAAGGAAAATTTATACCTAGTGTAGAACATAACTAATAATTTAAAGGAATCCAGAGTCTGTTTTATAAAATACTCAAGTTGTTGTGGTACTGCGTTATGTAGCAGACCCCAAGAGCTGTTCTTCTGAGATGAATGGCCTGGCTCGAAACAGAGCACCTCTCTGTCTGAGAACAGAAAATCTAGACCAAATATTTAAAAAGCACTTCTTGAAAGCATCAGAAGCTGCCAACACAGTAAGGCCTTGGGAGACCTCAAACTCTAGGCGAAGGCAGTGTAAAGAGATAAGCTGCCTTTGGGCATGCCAGTACCCACACAGCATTGGCTAGTGTGCAAGCAGCCGTGCGTAAGAGGCTAACTTGAAAGCAGTGACTTAGAGACAAAAAAACTGATTTGATGTTCAACTAATTTTATAAGAGTGAGGAGACAAAAATAGGAATCTGGGGGCCTATCGGCAGACAGGTTTTTGTAAATGTACCAAGTGTTGGGACTGCTTAAATGTTTCAGCCTAGAAGGAAGATAAGATAGAAGAAAGATATAGACTGGCCCATAGACAGACAAAAATTCAACTTACAGTCAGCTCAGTCCTTGTTTGGAGGTAGGTTGTCTGCCTTACTAACTTGCCTGATACAAATGTAAATCTTCAACATTAGCCTGAACCTCAAGTTATTTCTTCAAGTTATCACGCACAACATGACCAAGTATAATAGACATGCTATGACCAGAATCAAATGGCAAATAGCATATAACAATAGAACCATGGACGATCCAAGAAGATCAAAGATAAACTTTTAGAATAATTAAAATAAGTGAACATGGCAATAGCCAAAATCTGGAAACAACTCAAGTGCCCTACAACAGATGACTGGTTAAAGAAACTTTGGTACATCTGCACAGTGGAATACTATGCAGCTGTCAGGAGAGATGAAGTTATGAACTTTGCTTATTAATGGATAGACATGAAGAGTATCATGCTAAGTGAAATGAGTCCAAAAGAGAGGGACAGAGATAGAAGGACTGCACTTATTTGTGGAGTATAAAACAAGATAACATGAGGCTGACACCTAAGGGTAGCAGATACACTGGACAGATAGACTGCCCAATAGCTGGAAGCCTGCCTCATGAGCAAAGGGGAGAAGGCAGATAGAATAGAGAAGGGATCACTAAGAAAATGATAGCTGGAGGAATCAGTCGGGATGGGAGATGTGTGCAGAAAGTAGATAAAGAACCAAACATAATGACCTCTCGGTGTCTGTATTGCAAACCATAATGCCCATAAGTAGGAAAAGATGATGGGGAATCATGTCTGCCATGGAGGCAGGGGGAAGGTGGGAAAGGGGGGGTATACCGGGGATATTGGTGGTGGGGAATGTGCACTGGTGGAGGGATGGGTATTTCATCATTGTGTGATTGTAACCCAAACATGAAAACTTGTTACTATCTCATGGTGATTCAATAAAAATTTTTTAAATTATGATAAAAATAAAAAAAAGAAATAAGTGAACATGCAAGGAATCTCATTAGAGAACTAGAATCTATTTTTCCAAAAGGAAGAAATTGAGTTCCAGAACTTTAAATTACAATAGCTGAAGTTTAAAAATTCAGTAGATAAGAATAGGTCTCAGCTGATGGATTTAGTAACAAGTTTACCACAACTGAAGAGAACTTCGGTAAATTGGGAAATACGATAAAAGAAAAGGAGCCAGGGAGATGGTACGGAGATTAAGGCACATGCCTTGCATACAGCTTGACTCCCATTTAACCCCCAGCACCCTGTGATCCCCAGAGCATCACTGGGCAGCCCTGGAGGCCCTTGAGCCCCACTAGGGTGGCACAGGTGATCCCCAGCACTGCAGAGATCGAGCAGCACTGCATCCTGGAGCTCTTGCTTCGGTTGGCCAAGAATCAACCTGAAGGGCCCAAGATACCCAGACTAAATCACAGGAAGGGAATGGAATATGCAGGAAAGATCACAGGAAGCAGGGAACAGTTTAAAAAGCTAGCATTGATGTAATTGAAACCTTGAAGAAGAGGAGAGAGAATGTGGCTGGGGATCTTCTAAAACTGATGAAAACAGATTTTCAAATATAGGAGCTCCTTTTAGGGAAAGCAGCAAGGTTTGCACATTTAAATGACAGTGGACCCTCTGGGTGGAACGTGGAAAGTTCTTGGTGATGAAGTTGGAGGCAATGAATCAGTTAGGGCCCATTAGGTTACGGTTTGGCGTTTAGGTTTCACTCAAATTATCATTGAAATCTTTTATTGAAATCTATCTGATGATTGTATTGGGGTGGGGCTGTTTGCAGGAGACCACTTCTGGTGATACCTTCATGGTGCTGACCTTACAGTGGTATGCCCCACAGTGTTAGGACCACCATAGACCAAGTCTGTCAAATACTCTTAAGAGATTACTGATAAAGATAGAGCCTTTAATTTCAGCTAAATTGGAGCTGAAATTTGGTAGCATATAAAGAAGTAAAGGAAGGGAATAAACAATAGCCCGTGATAATAGATCCTAAAAGGCTGCATGGGACTGAGTTTGCTACTCAGGGTGGGGGGGTGGGGGACCGAGAGAAAATGGTGAGGCAACGCTGGTGTCCTGGTGGTGGGTGTAGTATAGTGATAACCGTATTCCTGAAATTTTAGTATTAGTCCTATTCTTAATCATAGTCCCTATATTTAAAAAAAATTGAAATGGAGATCTCTGGTAATCATAAAAGCCATTGCAGAGTGAGTGAGGACAAAAGTCCATTACTAGTAGGTTGAGTAGAGAGGGGACTTTGGCAAGTTTAGCTACACACTTTGAGGACTGACTGGTAGGGGAGGAAAAAAATCTAGAAGAGAAGAGAAATTAGCTAGAAGAGAAATGACCAGCTGGAGAAGAGTTCCGTTTTGTTTGTTTGTTCAGTGAAGGTGTTGAACAACAATCAAATTAACAATTTTATATTCAGTCTTCATAAACCAATGACATAACAAAGAAGGAAAATTGTGAGTTCTCCAGGGGCTTCCAAGCCTTCCAGTGGGCAGCAAAGTTGGAAGAGTAATAGGATTTTCCACAGATTGTCTCTTAATTCACTGAAGTTCACTACTTTGAAGATGGGAATGGCAGGTTGTAATTTATATATCTGGTTTATGCACTGTTCAGCAAACACATTTTAAAAAAAGTGGGTGGAAAGAGAGGGATTTGGCCACCATTATAATGGCAAACACATAGAGTATATTGTCTTCTGGGCGTTTTCTGGTCTTGCTCACATAATTCTCCCATCTGTGAGATGTTCAGAATTCAAGGAAATTGTTGAATTAATGTACGGTTATGCATTTTTGTGGAAAATGTTAAGACATCTGAATTTTTTATTATTATTTTTCCACTTCTGCCAGTCTTCATCACATGAAATTAAAAGGGCTTCTGCTATACTAACATGGGATAATTCCTACTATATTGGGGGAAAGATAAAATTTAAAACATTTTGCATAGTATGGTATTGAGTAAAAAGGTAAAATTTATTTCTGTAGCACGGCAGCACTGTCCTGTTGTTCCTCGATTTGCTCGAGCGGGCACCAGTAATGTCTCCATTGTGAGACTTGTTACTGTTTTTTTGGCATATCGAATACACCACAGGGAGCTTGCCAGGCTCTGCCATGCAGGCGGGATACTCTCAGTAGCTTGCCGTGCTTTCTGAGAAGGACAGAGGAATAGAAACCGAGTCAGCCATGTACAAGGCAAGCACCCTACCTACTGTGCTATCGCTCCATAATTTATAAATACTAAGTACATATATATATATGGCCTCCTTAACAATGCCATAAAATTTTATAATAGTGGTGTCCTTGGGGTCAGAGTTTAAATTACTGAAATATTAAAATAGTGTAACAGTGTGCTTCACTTGAGAAGTGAAATAACCTTTCTTTTTTTGACAAGTTTTTTTTCTTAGAAAATAAATATTAGCTGGTCTCCTTACAATTCATTACTTTTAATTTCATTTTAAATAAAAGTTCTGTGGGACATTTGAGTAGTTAGATTCACACTCATTAGAATTTTACTGTCAGTGATGTTTGCCAGCAAGTGAGTATTTACTTCAGAATTATCTGACATTTTCATTTTCAATCCTCAGTCATATGATAGTCTTACAGTGTTTTCTGTCTTTGGCAGGAATTAAAAGGTGGAAAAACTTATGCCAAGGTAAGTAGATATTCTCTAACTGGTTTTGAAACTTGTAATATCACTCCTTACTCTGTATAAACTTAAAATTGGTTTGCATTTCTCACTGCTAAGTTTGGCTCTTGCTAAAGCACTTGAAAATTAAATAGTTGGATTCAGCAACAAAGCTGCTGGTTACTTTTCTAAATACTGATTATGATCTCATTTACCTTTTATTTTAAAATTATAAATTTTTAATTATATAATTATTTTATATATTTATATTATTTTGATATTTTATCATTGTTTTTATATATTAATATTTTATATATTATATATCTGTCACTGTCACTGACCTCCCATTGTTCATCGATTTGCTCGAGCAGGCCCAGTAACATTGTGAGACTTGTTACTGTGTTTGGAATAATGAATACATCACTGGTAGCTTGCCAGGCTTTGCCATGCGGGCGAGATACTCTCAGTAGCTTGCCAGGCTCTCCAAGAGGGGTGGAGAATCGAACTCAGGTCGGCCGTGTCAGCCACATGCAAGGCAAACGCCCTACCCACTGTGCTATCACTCCAGCCCTATATATTATTTCAAAATTATACCTTCCATGCTGTGTATCTGTTAATACAATCACAGGAGTCTCATCTTCTGTTGATGTATTATGAACCACATTAGTTGATTTGCAAATATTGAACCATCCCTGTGATTCCTGGAATAGATTCCATGTGGTTTTGATTCTTGTAATGGTAAATTTGGTTTACTTGGGGCAGAGAGCTAATACAATGGATAAAGGTGCTTGCTGTGATAGAGTTAGGTTCTATCCCCAGCATCAAATACCGTCCCCGACACCAGACAGAAGAGATCCCTGGGTGCAGGGCCCATAGGAAGCCCTGAGCTGAACACATGCAATATGACCCTAAAGTCAGCTTCCCCACCCACCGCCAAATAAAAACTGATTCACATAGATTTTGTGCAGGATCTTTGCATCAGTGTCCACCAGGGATATCAATTTGTAGTTTTTCTTCCTTTGGGGAGTGGAGGAGATGTAACATTGGCCTCATAACAAGTTCTTGGAAGATTTCCTTTTTTACCTTTTGGAAGGTCTTGAGAAGAAAATGTTAACGGGTTATCTTGGGAGGTTTAGTAAAACTCACTAGTAAAATCATCTGGACCAGGGCTTTCTTTTGCTTTTAGTGAGTTTCTTCCTCGTATTGGCCTGTTCAGGTTTTCTGTTTCCCCTTGATGCCATCTTATAGGGTGTGAACTTCTAAATGTGCCAGCTGCATCTGTTTGTGGCATGAAATTGTTCACAGTCATTTCTCATTAGCCTTTGTATTTCTGTGATGTCTGTAAGTTCTCCCCTTCTACTTTGATACTGTTTATTCACATTCTCTCTCTCTCTCCCTCTCTCCCTCTCTCCTTCCTCTTTTCCCCCCTTTCCCCTCTCCCCCTCTCCTTTCTCTCTCCCCCCCTCTCTCTTAACCTTCCTCGCACCCTATCTAAGGGTTTATCATTCTGGTTGACTCATTCTGTGAACCAGCTCTTGGTTCATTGATCTTTTGTATTGCCATATAGGACTTTTTTTGAATGAGAAAACTTTCTAGATGGCCCCTCTCCAGATGGCCCTCTGAGGGTTTCTTGTATCTTTTTTGGAATTCAGAAAGATAGTTTAGCAATAGGAATTGGAGCCCATGGTTAGATTGAGCACAGTTTAACAATGAATTACAGGTGGGGTTTCCTTTCTTAAATGAAAGAGTGGACCCTTGAAGGAAAGTTCTGCCAGCAGGGAATAGCAGGCATGGAATGGTGGATGTTCATGCAACAGGGTCTGCTCTGATGGACAGAGCCCCCTACCCCATCCCCTAGATTTCCTCCTTCTAAAAGGCTTTTGAGCCCCTCCCTTCTCTCTATTCCCATCAACTCCTTAGGTTTTGCCTTCATTTTTTCCTGTCTGAGACGTGTTTGGGCCTCTCATCTTTCGTTAACGCCTGCTTGTGCATCCATCTTACCGCCAGAGTGATAGTTCTAAAATTCAGACTTGACCGTAGAGTTGCCCCAGCGTTAGTGCTGTTACCTATAAAGTAAAAGTAAGTGTTTAAGTCTACCATAGCTAGGTTGTAAATTCTCTTCTATTTCATTTCCTCCGCCAGTTACGGTGTTCTCTCCCTCTACCCCCATCCCTCCCTCCCTTCTGTTCCATCCTTCTGCTTTCTTACACTGCCTGAAGGGGCTGTGCTATTTTAGCTTCTCTGCCTTGTGACTCGGTATTTTCCTTGCCATGCAAGTGCTTTTCCCTCCTCTTGTCCTGCCAACTCCTGTAAAGACTCAGCTTAGTCATCCGTCCCCACTGAAACCTTTCCTTCTTTCTTGCTCTCCTCTTGCTCTTCTCTACTCTACCATACTTTTCCTAATGGAATTTCTTTTCTGGTTTTTCATTGTAAACTAGGCACTTCTTGATAAGAGAAGATAACTTAGTGTCCCAGAGTAAAATTTCCAAGGTCTTAAGAAGGTGCTCAAAAATTTTTACCAAACTGATATATCATCCAACACAGGGTGGGGAAAAAAGCTAGTGTTCTATCTGAATGTCATTTTCAAGAACAGTTAGTGCAGCCAAAGAGAAAACCATAAGGACTTAGGGACTCTGGTAACTCACAAAAATGTAAGATAGTCTCATCTCTCCTGTTCATTACTGTTCTCCAGTGTTGAGAACAGAATCTAGTGCATTAAAAGGTACTCAAGAAATGTGGACCTGGGCTGGAGCAATAGCACAGCGGGTAGGGCATTTGCCTTGCACATGGCCGACCCGTGCTCGATTCCCAGCATCCCATAGAGTCCCCTGAGCACCTCCAGGAGTAATTCCTGAGTGCAGAGCCAGGAGTAACCCCTGTGCATTGCCGGGTGTGACCCAAAAAGAAAAAATAAAATAAATATGGACCTTGCTTATATAGTGACCTTTAGCCTAAAATACCACATTGTTATACCCTATCATTGGATATGCTTCCTTTCCATTTCTTTCATTTACCTTATTGTTTTTTAAAAATTTTGTTACTTTTTTTTTAATTAACTAAGGTGAGATACACAGTTACAAGGTTGTTCATGATTGGGTTTCAGTCATACAGGTTTCAATACCCATCCCTTCACCAGTGTACACTTCTCACCGCCAGTGTCCCCAGTTTTCCTCCTGTCACCCCACACTTGCCCCACCCCACTCCAACCTCTATGGCAGACACTTTTACTTTTCTTCTTTTTCTCGCTCACTCACATAGTAGGACAGTGTTAGTCGGAAATGATAACTCTGGACGAGAACTGAATGCTGCAAGTAGATATAGGGAGATACAGGAACCTCTCAGTACCTATATTGCAAACCATAATTCTCTTCTTTTATGAATTAGGTAAAAGAATTTATAATAATGTAGATGTCTATGCTTTAGGCATATAGTAATACTGCACTACACTCTCCACCAAAGTGCTAATATCCCTTGGTCCCTTGTCCCCTTCCTGCCACCCCTCTGAGATTGGTAACCAGAGTTCTGTTGTCAGAGTTGAGAGCTTGTTTTCGTGGGACATTATCTGTTCTCTTGCTTTGTTTCTTTCTGCCCTGCATGTTAATCAGACCATCCAGGCTTTGCCTTTCTCCCTTGGCCAGGACGCTTTCTGAACGGGGCCTGATCAGATGCTTACATGATGTTTAGTGACACTCCAGTATCAGCATTCCAACCATGCAAAGGCCAGTAGACTGTTTTTTTTAATTTATAACGGACATATACATACAGTTTTGGCACTTGTGGAAGCCATTCTTGGCCATGCTTGAGGTCACGCAAGCAAAAAATGAAGGTGCTCACGGGGTCATGTGGTGCCTGGGTTGAACCCTGGGCCACGCACATACCCACCTCGAGTTCCATCTTGGCTACGCAGCAAAAGTGTTATTAACTTCCTACATGTACCTGGCATTTTTCCTGGGATTTTTCCAAGTGCTGGATATACAACAGTGAATACAGCAAACAAAAACACTTGCATTCTGTGACTTTTATTAAAATGAAGTGTTTAGAAGAGACAGTCAGTAAAACAAATAAGAAATGTGTAGCAGGGGGAATGGACAGAGATGGTGCAGGAAGTAAGCCGCTTGCCTCCATGATTCCCAGAACTGCGTATGGTCCCCTAAGCCCACCAGGAGTAATCCCTGAGCACAAAACCAGGAGTAAACCCTAGACACAGTTGGGTGTGGCCCAAAAGCAAAATTAGAATTTAAAAATGTGTATGTATGTCATACAGTGATAACTGCTAAGGAGAAAAATCAAGCAGGTGAGGAAAGGGAGAGCTCCAGGGAGAAGAGTGAGGAGGAGGGGAGTGTTTTCGAATGCTCTAGAAAGGCACCTTTAGAGGAATGACGAGAGCAAGTCCCTCACCACTTACAAGTTTGCCTTGCATTTTACCTCGGAGCTGAATCTCGCCTTTTCAAACCTATTTCCACGTTTTCCCAGAGCTGTGCCCCACACCAGCTCTCTCTGCGGCTACCCAGAAATACAGCTCAAACTTGTTCCTCCCCCTCATTATTACCCAATTGGGTGCCCATTTTCTGCAGCTACCAAAAATTGCTTTTCTCTGATGTTGCCCGACCTTATTTCTCCTTTACAAGTGGTACAATTAATCCCATTATGTCATTATTTTTTAAAGAAAGTCTATGCAACAGAACTAAGTATATGTAGTCTTTAATTAACAATAAAGAAATGTCTTGAGGTTGTAATTAATTAGCCTCATCTCCCTGAAGACACAATAAGAAGTACTATATCTTTCAAACCTTGCTATTATTTTAAGTTGCCTGCTCTCAGGTTTTAAAAATGCACAGTGGTCACATATGAATGCGTTCAAAATGATTCTAATTGCTGTCTGGAACATTTTAACTTTGAGACTGACACAAAAAACACTGAATAATATATAGATATAGTCAACGTTAGAAAACCCCAATTCCCAAGTGCAATTAAGCCAAGAACATACCGAGCCTCAGGTAATGGCTCCATAATTTGCATTTGGTTACTCTGACCTCACTGCCTCTCTCCTAGGGGTCCAGCAGGCCAGTCAAAACCTGAATGGTCTGAGCATGTGGAAACCAGAATGGCTCTTTGATCATTAGCACACACCTCAGCTCCTGTGTTATCCTTTCTCTTTGAAACCACTCCCCTGCTTTCCTGCTGGCTGCCTCCTTGCTTCTCTGTTCACTCAGAAAACAAAAGCAACCAAAAGAGAACTTAACTCCCACAAGCTCTTAGTGCCAACCTCTTCCCCGTCATAACTGTTACCCGTGCCCTGCACTCACTGTCCCACCAGCTGCATTCGGACCTGATGCCAAACCGTTCTCTACCTTAGTCCACTTCTTCAGGACTTCCTCTCTCTCTCTCTCTGCATTCTGAAATTCCCCTTCTGTTGGCTGATTCCTATCAGTACACAAACAAGCTGGATTTTCCCCCATATTTCTTCCACATTGACACGTAGGAGCAGGTGGTCTCGTGGGTCAGCTGGTATTTCCCAGACGGTTTGAGTACCACCACTAGTACCAATGGTTTGGCCGCCTAATATGCATCATTTTTGCTAGAGCATATTCAAACATGTACAAAAGGAGTTTAGGATTTTCATTTTTGTTGGTTCTTTTTGGCCACATGCAGTGATGCTGAGGGTTGCATTTGCAGCTGTGTGCATGGGGTCACTCTTAGGGTCCCTGTGGTGTGGGGGGTGGAACTGGTATCAGCCATGTGCAAGGACAGGAGGCATTTCACTGTGTACAGAGTGATACATATTTAGCCTTAGAATTTCTGGTTTCAAAGATGGAATCATTGAACACAAGAGTAGAATTGGGGTCAGGGACCTAACTCAGTAGTAGGTAAAGAACATCCTTCACATATGTGAGGTCCTAGGCTCGATTCCTGGAAGGACCAAGAAAGGAGTAATAAATTTCCAAAATAAGTGATGCAATTTAAAAACCACATGTGAAGCAAATAATAGGACAGGTATGAAGGCTGAAAAATGAGAGATGACTGAAGTGTGAGAAGACTAAAGCAAGGGTTGGATGTTTATTTTAAGGAGAATGTGATAGAAGCCTAACAGATATTCTATTAATATAATTCTCTTTCTTTTCATAGCTGGGCTTTGCTGATCTAAACCTGGCCGAGTTTGCTGGATCAAGAAACACCACTCGTCGCTGTTTACTGGAAGGCTATGATACCAAAAATACAAGACAAGATAATTCCATTCTTAAAGTGAGCACATTTCAGGGTTCGCCTATCACCAGCTGAGTTTCTCAGCCTTGAAATAAATATAGGGGAATTCTGTCAAGGGCAAGATGGGATTCAACCCGGAATCATAGGCTGACTACACCACCGAACTGCTCACCTCCTGGAGAGCAAAAAAAGATCCAGATCACAGTAACCAGGATTTACCTTCCTGAGCCTTGGGCGTTTGTCTCTGCTAGTGTGAACATTCAGGGGAAAGGCGCAACCTCCAAGCAGAGTAGGACAGTGAACACCTGAAAATGTATCCAGCCCCCCTGGAGGTGGTTTCCAGAGCAGTTGTGAGGGACACCTAGAAGACAGTACTTTCCACTGGTGAATGGACGGATGTTGGAACTTGGTATGACTGAAACCCAGTCATGAAGAACTTTGTAACTCTGTTGCACCATGTTTCAGTTAAAAAAGGAAGAAAAGTTTCTCTCAGAACCAGAGAAGTGCCAGGTGTCTGTGTGCTTTCTGAATACCCCCCAAGAGTGTGTTGTAGTGCCCGCATAAAATATACATAGACTTCCCAGAGCTGGGGGGAGGCCAGGTGAGGAAATATTTTCAAAATGCCTCTCACCCAGCAAAAACTCACTGGATAAATGCTCCACTACATTTTAGTTAGGTTACTCCATAATGTTAAGTGAAAGAGGGGAAATATCTAGTGGAAAGAAAAAATAATTCTGATTAAAAAGTCAATGGTGAGAAGTTTAACAAAGAATTACCCTATATTTAGACAAGAACTGGGTGCTGAGAGGAGGGAAAGCGATATGCCTGGTAACCCTTCAGTATCAGTATGTCAAACCGCAGTGCCTGAAAGGAAAAAAGCAGGGGAAAAGAGAGAGAGAAGAAAAGTGACTGCCACAGAGGCAGGCTGGGGTGGGGGGTGAGGGGGAGATAAATGGGACATTAGTGGTGGGAAACATAGACTCAATCATGAACAACTTTGTAACTGAATCTCATCATGATTCACTTGAAGAAAAGAATTACTCTATATCTGCATTTCCACATTTTGTTTTCAGTGACATATTTCATTCTAAACAGAATGTGTGAAATGGTTATTATACTAGTTCATCCTTGCACAAATTTAGCATCTTTGAAATAAACAGTGTTGGGGTGAGGTGGAGATAGTACAGCGGGTAAAGCACCCGCCTTGCACACAGCTAACGTGGGTTCAATCCCTGGCACACCATACGGTCCCCTAACCCCTGACAGGAGTGATTCCCTGAGTGGAATCATAAATAAGCCCTGTACACTGTCCAGGTGTGGCCCCAAATCAAACAAAACGAACAGATCATGGAAATATAATGGATAGTAGTAAATATAGTTAAACTCTCTGTCCTCCTGTTGTTTATCGATTTGCTCGAGCGGGCCCAGTAACGTCTCCATTTCTGAGACTTGTTGTTACTGTGTTTGGCATATTGAACACGTCATGGGTAGCTTGCCAGGTTTTGCCGTGCGGGCGAGATACTCTTGGTAGCTTGCCAGGCTCTCCGAGAGGGACGGAGGAATCGAACCTGGCTTGGCTGGGCTGGCTGCATGCAAGGCAAATGCCCTACCGCTGTGCTATCGCTCCAGTCCCTGTATTAATAATACCACATTACATATTTGAAAGTTTTCATCACAAGGGAGAGAATTCAGTGTTTTCCAGAGTGGGTGATACCACCTCACCAAAGGTGCTGGAACAGTGTGGGGATCTTAGTAGCCTGGGACACAGTTACAGGGACACTTAAATAAATTCAGCCCCAGGGAAGCTGAGTGACTAGATTTTTGTTTTTTCGAAAAGGGAGTGATAGGCCAAATAAGTTTAGATATGCCTCACATAACTATGGTACAGGCAGGATTTAAACTAATCACGAAGTTGTTTTCCAGATCTATCTAAAAATTGGTTTCTTATTACATAGTAGAAACTAATCTAATGATACTTGTTCTAACTTTTTTTTTATAAAGTTGATGTAGCAGTTATTCTATATTCCCAAATATATTTATACATAAATTTATTTTTTAAAAATACCTTGATGGGCAAGAGCGATAGCACAGCGGGTAGAGCGTTTGCCTTGCATGTGGCTGACACGAGTTCGATTCCTCTGTCCCTCTTGGAGAGCCCAGCAAGTTACCGAGAGTATCCCACCCGCACAGCTAGCTCCCCGTGGCGTATTTGATATGCCAAAAACAGTAACAAATCTCACAGTGGACATGTTACTGGGGCCCACTCGAGCAAAACGATGAACAACAGGACAACAGTGCTACAGTGCTACCTTGATGTTTAAACTTCAGTTTACAAGTTGGTTTTATGGTTGTGAGGTAGAAAGAGTTCGAGAGAGGAGGCGGCTGCGACACTGAAGCTGAAGTTCAGCTGAGAAATTACGTGTGCCCCAGTCATGGCCCTTCGGGTTGAGTTCAGCCTGAGCATTAGACTCAGCAAAAACAGTCTGCACTCTTCATTTTTTTTTTGGGGGGGGGGGGGGGCAGGGCGGGGGTGTCACATCCGGCAATACTTGGGGCTTACTCCTGACTCTATACTCAGGGATCACCTCTGGCAATGTTCAGGGGACTATATGGAATGGGAGGGATCGAACCCAGGTTGGCCACATGCAAGGCAAGCGTATTAATCATTCCAGCCTCTACGTTCTTTGTTTTTATATCAATCCTAAGAAGCCCTGACCTTCTTGGTTTTCTGTTGTTGTGGTTCTTTTTTTTTTCTGGTGTTATATATAAAATGAAAAATCCTTCTCTGACAGTGTTTTCACTAACAGTAGAAATAACTTCAAATTTCTGACCCCTCCATTCCTCAGGTCATCTCAGGCTTCCCGCTTAGTCGCCCACACTCTCTCTCCCACTTTGACCTAGAAAGCTTCCCATCTTATAGGTCATGCCAATCATCTCTTACTTACACTCTTCCTTCCTTGTTTCTGTGAACACGTGACAGTTGCCTTTCCTCTCCAGCATCACAGCTTTCTCTCTTACTCATTTTGCCGGTGTTTTTTGTGGTGTCCTCACCATCTGCATACAGAGTCTGTTCTTTGTACTGTCTTCTCTGTATCCTTCCCCTCGGCTACTCTTTTGTAATGCTGTTGGAAGCCAGATTGTAGAGTTGTATGAAAGAAAGAAAAGGTGAAAAGGGAACCAGCCCAGTAGGTAGAAGCTGCTATTCATTTGATGAGTTTAGCATTAAAAAAAAAAAAAGAAAAGGAAAAGAGGCATTGTAAAAGGAGGTACAAATGAAAGGAGATTGCCTAAGAATTCCTGTCAGGCCTGGGGAGTAGTTCTAGTGGTAGAGCATGAACTTGGCATGTGCAGGACCCAAGTTTGATCCCCAGCATGGCATGTCCCCAGCTGGGTGTTGCCCCTAGAAGCCACCAAACTCTGCCAGGGTTGGACCTGTCCCCCATATACACTGCCAGATACGGCTTTGTAAGGAAAAATACATATCAGCTATTTGATGCAGGTATATAGGTAGATGGTCATGTTATGTGTGTTATGTGTATCTGTCGTGGTCTTCATTGAGACCATGAGTATTGGTATAGTTTTGCATCACTCACTGGTATTTCAATCAACAAGAGTGGTCTGCGTAGACTATCTCGATGGTTTTCAGGCTTTTTACACCTACAGACCATATCCAGAACTTTGGCCACTAATTGGAAACTACTGGCAGTTAAGCAGAAGTGACTTTTTCACAGACTGGCAGGAAATTTCTTCAGATGGGTGGCTGAAGCTACACATGTAACTGTCGTCACCCCACTTGCAGTTTCACCAGAGGCCCCCATGGAATATTCTGAGGGCCTGGGGTAGGAGCTGTGGCCCCCAGTTGAGAAATGCTGGTCTGTCCGCTTTTGTGTAATTGTGATCTGTTGCATTCGCATAACATAATTGACTTCTCAGAAATCATCTATATCTTTAAGCAACATACTGCTGGGTTTGGGTCTTCCCTCTCAGCCCTTTACTTGCTACCCGATTTTGAGAACACGAGTCTCCTGAGCTCGGAATGAAGTATGCACCACTCACAGAAGTTAATTTCAGTGAAATAGAATAATAAATTCTCAGCACATAGTTCTCAGATCATGATTACCATGAGCTGAGACTCAAACCTGGGTGAGCTGCTTGCCAAGCGTGCACCTGAGCACCTGTACTAGCTCTCTGCCCCTCAGCAGTCATGTTTAATATATTTTGTAAAGTCAAAAAACTGGACAAGATGCTGCCTTAAGAATGCAGGGATTTGCAAACTAGCTTCTCCACTGAGCTCTTCTGTAACCAAGGTGTTTCTTTTTCTTACATTTAGGTTCTGATCAGTATGCAGCTGATGTCTGGTGACCCATGTTTTAAAACGTAAGTTGATGTCCAATATATGAGTCATTTATCTAAAAGTACAAAAGTGATTTACTTAACTATTTGCATTCATATCTTGTGTGGCCTTAGAGGTGGTTTTATCTAAGAGGTTGACCTGACCCACCTAGAAATTACTAAATTCTTATCTGGTGGCCTCACCACACTCTAAATCCTGATCTGTGTACTGAGGCCGGTCCACAGAAATTTCTTGGCAGTTTGGGGAAAATTTATTGTAGCCATAACATGGTCCAAGTGCATAAGTTACCCACAGTTACTTTTCCTCACACCTGGCTTGGGCCTGTGGACCAGTAGTCAGAAACCACTGCCTTTAAATTACTTCAGTTGTTGGGTCTAGAGCCATAGAACTTTCTTTGCATGTCACTGAACCATGTTCAGTTCTCAGTATCACATACGGTCCCCCGAGCCCATCAGGAGTTATCCCTGAGCATAAAGCCAGGAGTAAGCCCTAACCACAGTCGGGTGTGGCCCAGAAAATAAACCAAATTACTGAAACTGTTGATCTTTTGTCATTACTAGGTTCTGGGTGAAACTATATATACTAAAAATAATTTGGGGGAGCCAGAATGATAATACAGCTGGTAGGCTACTTTCCTTACACACAGCTCTCCCAGGTTTGATCCCCAGCATCCCTTCTGGTCCCCAAGCACTGCCAGGCATGATCCCTGAGCACAGAAGTAAGTCCTGATCACCACCAGGTGTGGCCCAAAAAACATAACAATATTTTGTTATGGCAGGAACCAATCCCAGGGCCTCGTAATATTCAGATAGTGCACTCTTAACCCCTGAGCTACATTCCTGATCCTAAAATAAGAAATTGTTCTTTAACCTCAGTGGACTTTTTTTCATTTCACAAAGAAATACCTACTCAGTGTCTTCCTATGTGCTAGGCTGTATTCTAAAGACTAGAAAAACAGCACTGGGAAAATAAATAAATAGGGCCCCTGGTATCTGAGACCTGGAAATGAGAAACAAACCAACAGGCAGTTGTTTGCTTTGAAGATAGTGGTGCATGTCGGGATAAGAAGCAGGACAAATGGGCCACAGCAGGGAGAAGGGTTGATACTCAGCAGGCAGGAGGCAGGAACGTCTGTAAAGATGATATTTGAGCAGAGACCCAAAGAAGGTGGGACACCAGCCATGCGGATATTTGGGGAAAGAGCATTTGAGGTAGAGGAACCAGGACAAAGGGAAAGAGGAACATGCTTGGCATGCGCAAGCGACTGCCAGGAGATGGGCACATCTAGAACAGAGCAAATGAGAGAGGGTAGCAGGAGAGATCAGATGATACAGCGTCTTGTAAGGCACTTAATAATGGAGTGAGATGAAAAAGATGCTCACTATAAGTGGGCACCCTCCAGAAAGCTTTTCTCAAGAAGTGCACCACCACCCACATGTCATGCAACCATGATCCATGATGACAGCTACCATGGGGACGCTGCTGTGGGGTTTGAAGCAGATGAGTCCATTTATCCTACTTACATCCGCTGGGTAGAAAATCAATAGTCTGGGAGCAGTGCAGGAGGCAAGGGCAGAAATTGGGAAGTCCGTTTCAGTGGTCCACGACTTGGAGCTTGAGTAAATAGAACTGCGGTGTTCCTGTTACTTCAGTAACAGTCCATTTATTTACGTGAGCGGCTGTAAGAGGAACAGGTTGGGGGTTTGGGTGATGGACAGGTAATGGTTGAGATTTGATCACCCAAGCCAGGCATGTCAAGGCAGCAGATGGATCTGTCACTGTAGAATTTGGGGGAGGGAAGCACAGGCATGTAGCTTGGTGGAGGAGCACTTGCCTACCACAGACAAAGAGCGAGAATTGACCTTTAGGTCTTGCGGTTCAGATTGAAGCAGATGAGTGACTTCAGCAAGTGCTTCGGTAGAATGCCCCTAGCCTGAAAGTCTTATGAAAGAGAATCTGGGGTGAGGGGGGAACTGGAGGTAACGAGTATACACAATTCTCATGAACAAACTTGCCGCAAAAAGCAGAGTCATAAGAGGGTGTTTATTTTTTTAAGGTAGATCGTTATTATAGGGTATTCGTGTACAGATTCTAAATGTTGCAGAAGAGAGGGAGAAATGTGTCCGAGGAAAGGGACAGCCTCTACATCAGTGTCCTTCAAAGGCCAGGAGAGAGGAGGGCAGAGACTGAGGCTACAGGCGTAGATATGTGAACATCGAGTCTTAAGAAGTTACTTCCACTTGCCTCTGATTACTCGGTGAAATAGGAAATGATTATTGAAGTGAGAAAAGGCAAGTGGAGGTGAGGTTCTCAGGAAAGAAGAGAGCATGTAAACATGCCTCTCAGAGTAAGAGATTGTCTAGTAGCAATTCTAGAGAATATATAATGAAAAGGAAAGTTAATTTGGTATTTTTTAAAAGTCGGAGGGGAAAAATGTAGAGAAGAAAAAAAGGACTGGAAACAATAAGTGCCGTATACACCAATTCAGAGTTCAGATCCTTCTCACATGCTGGTTTGTACTAGTACCGCCAATCCTATGGGAAAACCATTTTTAAGGATATTGGTGTAATCCAAACAGGTGAGGAAACTTAAGAAACAGAGCAATGAAGTGCCATATCTGCTTGCACAGTATCAATTAAGTAACTACTGGAAAGATTAACTGTTTTCTTGCTTTTGTCTGCCTACATTTCTCATAACAATATTTTTTTAACTAACAAGAATATGGCAGTTTCTTAGCGTTCTCAGATTGAAGTTCTCATCTTGATATTTTACAAGCAGATCGATAGAGATTGCATGATTTTTCTGAAACAAATTTTATACTGTGTTGCCAGTGTTTTTGTGTGAGACAGCTGGTAAGTCAGCCGCCACCACCTGCTCTAAACTCCATTTTGTCATTCCCTACACATCAGCAAATATCCACCAACTTTTGTGACAGTCAAACTGACTCAAGGGAAAACTGTCACTGATGCTGACAAAGAAAACGGGTATTTTGAAAGAAAAATTATCTACCATACTAGCATTTGATAATTTGGTTGCAAAGCAGATTTGTGGATGATGCAACTGTCTTCTAAGGCTAGAACTCGGGAGTATTCATGTTCTAGAAGGAAGGAAATTGCCATTTGTCAGCTAGTAAGAAAAAATAGCTATTAATGTGGCCCAGTTTAATTCTTAAAATAGTTCTATGATGTATTATCTATATTTTTCAGAGGAGGCACAGCTGGCAGTGCTAGGGGGCCACCAAAGACCACCAGTGCCACACCTGGTGGTATGTAGGACTCATGTGGTACTGGGAATCCACCCCAGAGTCTGCCACACTCTGGCCATGTGCTCTCCTACTTGAACCACCCTGCCTGATTATCCACGGTTTTAAAATGAAGACATTGAGGCAAACAGCTGGTTTGTTCAACCTCTCTCCTAGGATTCACTCATTCATTTAGTAAATGTGTGTTCATTGCCTCACATGCGCCAGCATTTATCAAACTTACGCCAGCCTCTGCTTTGAAGGATTCACTTTTTATGTGGATGGTATACACACAGCAGTGATGTTATTGAGGCATAGAAAACAGGGACCAGAGCGATAGCACAATGGGTAAAGAGCTTGCCTTGCATGCTGTCGACCTGGGTTCAATCCCCGGCATCCTACATTGTCCTCCAAGTACTGCCAGGAGTAATTCTCAAGTTTGAGCCAGAGTGAGCCCTGAGCATCACCAGTATGGCCCAAAATACAAAGAGAAAAAAGAAGACAACAGGGACCCTAACTGCTTTCATTGAGAAACAGGAGAATCCCGCCCCCCCCCCCCCCCCCCGACAGTGTGACACTGAGCTGCATTTTGAAGGACAAATAGAAAGTTACTGAGCAGAGGAGACTGTATAGCGAGTTTCTAGGTGGAGAGGACAGCTTCCGTGAGTCTCGCATTGTTGTAGGACAGAGACTATTTACTAAATGTTAGTGTCACTTTAGGTCATTTTTCACATAGTTCTTACTTGACTGTGAAATCACAACCCCACCTCTTTTGTTCTATATTGAATTCTTTTAAAAGGTTTCTGATGAGGGATAAAAAAAACGTCTTCAGAGGCTGGAGAGATAGCACAGCGGGTAGGGTGTTTGCCTTGCACGCGGCCGACCCGGGTTCGATTCCCAGCATCCCATATGGTCCCCTGAGCACCGCCAGGAGTAACTCCTGAGTGCAGAGCCAGGCGTAACCCCTCTGCATTGCCAGGTGTGACCCAAAAAGCAAAAAAAAAAAAAGTCTTCAGAGCCAAAGAGGTAATCAAATAGACATGGGCACGCTGTAGGGACTCTGTGATCCTGCAAACAGTGGTGTGGAGTTGGAAGGACGAGGAGAGATGCCACGACCTGGGAGGATTTTAGATTCCACGTTTTTCTTGCTCTCAATCCCTGACAGTTGATCGTGTTTCTGCGTGATGCCCAATTTCCCCCACTTTTTCAGGGTGGAGGTTAGTGCCTGTAATTGAAATCATCACAGATTGAGGTTCTTTTTTTTTCCTGGGTCACACCTGGCAATTCACAGAGGTTACTCCTAGTACATGCACTCAGGAATTACTCTTAGCAGTGCTCAGCAGACCATGTGGGATGCTGGGAATCGAACCTGGGTCGGCCACATGCAAGGCAAATGCCTTGCCCACTGTGCTATCACTTCAGCCCCTGGGTTGAGGTTCTAAAATATTTTTTGAGACTACAATGTGGAAGCTATCTCTGAAGATGCTCTAGGAGGCTGTGAATCAGGCTGGGCAGCAGGGGTGGAGCGAGGAGGAGATGATGGAAGAGAGTGGGCGTCGGGGAAGGGGACCCTCATTCAGTGCTGGTGTAAATGTTGGCGGGCCCAGCCTTTTTGGAAAACAATATGAACATTCCTCAGAAACACCAGGAATTGAGCTTCCATATGACTCAGACATGCCATTTCTAGCAACTAACATGAGGGAAACCCAGAAAAGAATTTTTCACCCCTTCATTCACTGCAAAACTACTCACAGTGGCCAGAATTTAGAAATTGCACAAATGCCCAAAAATAGTTGACTGGATAAAGAAACGGGGATACATATACAGTGGAATATTACCTGGCTGTGAGAAAAGATAAAATTGTTCAGTTTGCCACTAAATGGGTAACTGAAGTTAGCCAGAGGGAGAGAGACAGATACTGAGTGATCTGCTTATATGCAAGATCTAAAACATGGGAAGGAAATAACGGGTACACAAAAGAAATAGGAACAGAGACTCGTTTCCTATAGGAAGCTCAGCACAGAGGAAATGGGACTGGGATAGCGGTGGAGGTTTTGGGGCTTGAATGTTTATGCATAAAACCATACCAGTAACAGGCTGGGTTTTTGGTTAACCATGGTGCTTAAAATGTACAAAAAAAAAAAAACACCAAAAGTCTTTGCTGGGTGTTCTGATAGGTTAGAAAACTGATCCTGGGAGTGAAGCGATTGCACAGCCAAGTAGAGTGCTGGTCTTGCACACAGTAACCGGGGTTCCATCCCCGGCATCCCATATGGCTCCTGAGTGTAGAGCCAGGAGTAAGCCCTGGGTACCTCCAGGTGTGACCCAAAACCAAAAGCAAGAAAACTAAAGAAAACAGGTCCAAAGGGTAGGAGACACTGTAATGAGGCCATCTGAGGGAAAAAAGAGCTGGCATGCAGAAGAACCCGTAGCGGGGATCAAGACTATTCTTCGTGTGTTCCTCTTACGCGTTCGCTTTTCTCAGAGATGGTTGAGTGCAGCTTTTTTCCAGCAGGTGTTTTTTATGTGATTTTAAAATGCAGCCTTTGGTAAGGAAGAGATGTATGTCTAAGCAGGAAGGCAGAGGGCCTTGTGTTGCCATCCTCATGAGTTTGAGCTTTATTCCAACAAGCTGTTGAATTGCTTCAAATCTTAAAGTAACACTTTCACATATATGTTTCAGAAAAACCACAGGGACAGTAACATGGGTAGAGGCGGGGCAGTTAAGCTCAAAGCCCTGCGATTTCCCAGGTAAAGGTCCAAAAGCCAAACTAATTAGTGGAGGCAGAGAAGAGATTGTGGATAGAGAGCACATCAGGAATGTGTGTGTGTGTGTGTGTGTGTGTGGTGGGGGTGGAGGGTTGAAGGGGGAGTGCATAGATAAAACAGCAGGTAGTGGATAGAGCTTTTTCCTTCCTCTGGGCCCAGTGCCCTCTCCCACCTCACCTTTTGTGTCAAAGGCGCCCCACTATGAATTTTACTTAGATCTCATTGGTTTATTTAAGGTGTTTGTGGGACGCCTCCCCTCTCTCTCACCTGTTTTAACTTCTGAAAACAAAAAAGATGTGTGTAGGTTTGTATTGCCTTTCGCCGTAGGCAAAAAAAAAAAGGGAGATGGCATACCCAGCTGCATACCAAATGACCAACCAGTCTGTTACCAGTGTTTCAGACATCCAGATTCACCCACAAATCAAGGTACCAAGTTCTGATTCTTAGAAATCTTCATCGACAGGCCTCCCTCAACGTCCATGTCTTTGCCAATCGCCGGGGAGTCGGAATCGCTGGAAGAAGATAGAAAAGGTGGAGAGACGCTCAAAATCCATCTTGGAATTGGAGGTATGGATGTGTAGCTTCTTATTCTTTTTCTTCTTACCGAAACATGATCTACTTGATATCCTGAAAGATTTCCCGAAAGCCCCTCACAGATAGATACCCTGTTCCGGGGGCATAAGGACTCAGGTGAGACAGTGTTGGCAGAGTCTTATTAGGCACAGTGGGTTGAGCCCAGGCTCACTGGCCCTAAAGGACATGCTCTCTCTGAGGTGAGCCACCAACAGTTATCACACCCTCCCTCACCTTTATAACCCCCACTCCTGGCATCTGGGAGACGCTGCTGCCACCGGGGCTCGCTCAGGCACTGCTTTCCCTTCCTGAATCCCCTCAGCCTTTCCCTGCCTGTCCAGCACAATCCCCACGTGCGCGTTCTTCCCGCCTTTTGGCATGGCAGGTGGTTTTTCGATTTGGTTCATCTGGGCTGGGCACCTGCCCGTGGTGGCATTGGGTTCCTGGCTGCTGCGCTGCTGTGCTCCAGGTCACACCTGAGGCTCGGGCATTTCTCCAGACAAAGTTCTGAAACAGGCAGGGATCTGCCCCAGGAGTTAAAGGGGGAATTGGTAATAAGTCAGTGGAGAACAAAAAGACTAGGGCTTTCTTCTAAGCCTCGTATTATTGAATAGGGCTGTTTCAAAGGACCAAAAAAAGGGGGGGCGGGACCAGGGAAATAATGCAAAGGGCTGAGACACATGCCTTGTGTGTGAGGCCCGGGTCTAACCTCAGCATCAGGGTGCGCAGCCCTTGGTGGCTCCCAGCTCCACTGGGCCTGGGCAGCAGCTAAGCCAGCCCTGAGCAGGAACTGTCAGGCCCGCACAGCAAGGAGTGGCCTCTGGGCCCCTGAGCACCACTGGGGAGCCCCCTCCCCTCTCAGAAACACACACACACACACACACACACACACACACACACGTGAAATGACACAGTGAACATTCTCAAATATAAAAGGCACAGCTTTTTCAAACCTTTAAGACTTGTTTTAGGTAATGAGAACCATAGAAGTTCCTACTTGGGGGGTCATTGACTTATTTGGTTCTATTAACCATTCTCCTTCTCTTCAGTATTTAATCTGAATTCTTTCTCATATGGGAATAAAAATAACTCTCTAGTGCTCCATCCTCCTCTGGACCTGTGGGCTTAAATGCTCTTCCCCAGTCCTCTGTCCCTCAGACTTTTAATTTTTGCCGGGGGGCAGGGGGGAGTGTGTGTGTGTGTGTGTGTGTGTGTCTTTGTGTGTCTGTGTCTGTCCAGGGACTCACATAAGCAAGGCAAAGGCTTTGCCACTGAACCATATCCCTAGCCCCAACTTCATAGCCGAACCTCTAGAAGGAATCTGCTGTCCCACTAATCCTAAACAGTCAGGCTGGCTTTCCTCCTTCTTGCAGGTGTCTCCAATAATACCCTTGTTACTGTAAACATGCTTGTGATCTCATTGCCTAAGCCAGTTGCTCTTCCTTAAGACTTTTTGGTTCCTGCTCTCCCATCTCTTTGCTGCTCCCATTTCCAGTTCCTTTGAATCATCTTCCTCTTTCATCTCCTTAAATCGCTGGGTTCCCTTTACTCATACTCCCTGTCACTTACAGGTGCATTCAAATGTCATACCTATGAAATTTATCTTTTTCTTGGGGCTGGAACAATAATATAGAGGGTAGGAAACATGCTTTGCACATGCCTGACCCAAGTTCGATCCCTGGCACCACATATGTTGCACTGAGCCTGCCAGGAGTGATCCTGGAGCACAGAGCCAGGAGGAAGCCCTGAGATCTGTCAGGTGCGGCTCCCCCAAAAAAACAATTAGTTAAGTAAATAAATAAACCCGATCTTGTGGATATGAGTTCCACACTTTGATTGTACCAACTGGCATTGAAGTCACAACTCCCTCCTGACTCACAGGTACCTCCTGAGTGCTTTCAGAAGGTGACCTTTCATGCCACCTGCTCCACTGACACCTGTGCCTGCCAGTCGCCATTTATGTTCTCATCACAGGCCTTATTTGTAACCGCACATAATGCCAGGCAGCGAGAAGAAATGCAGTGACTAGAAAATGGGTGTGTCCTCAGGTGTCTCAGGTCCCACGGATGCCGCACAGGTCTCCCTGCCTTTCCAGTTTCCTCAGTCTCCCTGAGTTCTGTTGTTTGTGCCTCGGACTCTGTGCTGATGGCAGTCTTCACTTCTGAACCCTGGTGATCTCCCCAAAGTGTCACATCCTTTGTGAAGGCCATTAAATGATTTTCTTCTTTAAACTCATCAAAGGGCTGAAGAGATAGTACAGGAGTTAAAGCACTTACCTCGTATATAGCTGATCCCAGTCTGAGCCCTGGCACCACACACAGCCCCCCCGATCACCCCCAGAAGTGGTCCCTGAGCCCAGAGCCAGAAGTCAGCCCTGAGCACCACGGAGTGTGACCCCCCCCCAAAAAAAGAGAAAACCCTTTGCAGAACAGCCAGGTCCCTGCAGTGGCTTACTTGTTGGCAGCTTTGTTGATGCATCTTCATTGAATATCATTTATAGAACTGCTGCTATAATTGCAGTGTTACTCAGTGGGTCTCCTTTTGCCACTGAGTGAAAAACAGTTCAGGTTTCTAAAATTTCACCCCTGCAAAGGTGGCCGCAGTTCTGCAGGCTGGGGAGGAAATCCTGGTTCATGAAATACTGGGTGGACATCTGGAATGTGCACTTTTATCAGGGAACTACTAGAAAAGGCTTTGGCACTGCCCTTGTTTGGTACATTTACTTTGAAACTGAATACTGTCATCAGTTTCTTAAGAGCTTTTTAATTCTGTGCTGCATCCGTGCTGTGTTGATCTAAATCATAGACATTTGCCCAAATTATAGCCTAGCACGAGCAACACAAGTGTTAAAGCAACAGCCTTTTAGTTTACTGTTGCAAGTTTGAAAGATTTCTTTCTAAATCTGAGTTTTTTGAGAATTCATTTTATTGGAGAAATGCCAACCATAAAAATGGAAGTATGGGGTGGCCGGAGAGATAGTATAGTGAATAAGGCATTAGCTGTGCATGCGGCCAACCTGGGTTCAATCCCTGGTATCCCATATGATCCCTGAGCACCGCCAAGAGTAATTCCTGAGGGCAGGAGTAACCCCTGAACATCGCCAGGTGTGACACCCCCCCCAAAAAAATTCCATAAAAACTGAAATACTTGTGTGGCCCAAAACACCTCCCCCGAGAAAAATTAAATCTTTAAGCTATTATTAAATGTTTTAAAAAATACTATGGTCCTTCATGACAGTTGTATTTCTTATGATATGGTTGGTGGCTGTACAATTGTTTAGATTTAAAGGGATTTATCCGCTTTGTGGCTTGCTTTTCTTGCTATTGAACTTGGCGTTTTATGAAATTCACAGGCTGGTATATAAATTGGCCATGGACTTGTTGGCAGTAATAGTAGCATCATGTTATGCCTCCCTGCAGATCTCTCAGCGAAGAGTGCCTCTGTTCCCGATGAACTCGGTGCCTGTGGACATTCTCGAACATCCAGCTATGCAAGCCAGCAATCCAAAGTATCAGGTAGCAACGCGAAATGAAAGTGAAATCCTGAGACTTGTTGTGTTGCTTTCCCCAGACTTGGCATTGCTGTGGCGTGGGGAAAGGGGGTCTGAGGGCAGCCTGCTCGGGGTCTGTCTCACATCCAGAGTGACTCTCTCCGGCAGGGTATAGCTCGTGCCACTCCCGGTCATCGAGTTTCTCTGAGCTCTGCCACAGGAGAAATACCTCCGTGGGTAGCACCTCAACAGGAGTTGAAAGTATTCTGGAGCCGTGTGATGAAACGGAGCAAAAAATAGCTGAACCAAGTTTGGATACAGCTGACAGAGAAGACGCAGCCTCAGAAACACTTGCCAGGTATCCTCTTGCTCTTCGTTCAAATGGGGGGAGGGGAAGGGGAACAATTTTGTCTCTTAACACAATAAAAAGGAGGTGGGGGGGGATTGCCTCTTATTTTTCAAAGATGCCCAGTGAAGCAAGACTCTGTAGAATCTCAGCTGAAGCGAGTCGATGATACCAGAGTAGATGCGGATGATATTGTGGAGAAAATACTACAAAGTCAGGACTTCAGCCTGGATTCCAGTGCGGAAGGTTGGTTGACAGCCTTTGAAGACCTAGAGATGAATTTAATCCAAGGGTGGGCGATCCATGCATGGGCAGTCCACGCAGTAAGGAAGCAGAACGGGATGATGCTGATTGTAGTCAAATTAGATTTCCTCACCGTAAAAATATGACATTGGGGCTAGAGAGATAGTGCTACAGATAAGGTGCTTGCCTTGCATGCAACCAACCCAGGTTCAATTCCCTTGAGCCTGCCAGGGGTGATTTCTGAGTGCAGAGCCAGGAATTACCCCTGTGCATTGCTGGGGACCCCCCCCCAAAAAATATATATATATACAACATTAACTTTGCAGCTGTTTTGTTCCTTTTATAAAGGGAAAATTCATCAGATCGTTATAAAAGACCTAAATGCTCTTTATTTTTGAAGTTTGTGCCAGTATCTGCTATGTGTATGTATCTAATGATGACCATACACATCTGCTTTGTCACGACTGGACATATGTCCTTCAAAACACTATTAATTTGGAAGGTTTAGCAGTAGTGTGGAAATGATAGAGAAGAGCAGAATTCTTCAGTCTCTCCTTTGCATTTTCACTGAAGCTGAAAATTTACATGCCTCCAATTTGAAAGGTATAATTACTCATGCTGGCATGAATAGAAAGCAGTTAACAATGGATTTAGTTTCATTATGTAGTTTGTTGTAAAGAGAAAAAATAAAAACCTTGTAGAAATTCATGGGGAAAGCTGCCTCCTTGACTCAGTTTTAAGGAAAATGGCTTTAGAAAAGTTGATGAAAAGAGTTTTTTTAATTGCCTGTTTAAAAACGTTTGTAGTTTTGGGTGTTTTTTTTTTAGTTTTTTAATTTTCTTTAAGAAAGCTAAAACGTCAGATGTGAAATGTATAATGTGAATATTATTTGACAATCTAATGGTTATTCCTATAACAAATATCTTAAACGTGTATTTCCAGAGGAAGGACTGAGGTTATTTGTGGGCCCTGGGGGAAGTACGACCTTTGGCAATCACCATCTTCCGAACAGGTATGTGGTTCAAGCCGTAGCTCATTGAAATAAAGAATATTCTGGATTTTTCTTTGTCTTTTTGGTTTGGGGGCCACAAACCCTGGCGGTGCTCAGGGCTTCCTCCTGGCTCCGTTCTCTGGGATCATCCTGATGGGGTTGAGGGGACCATATGGTGCCAGAGATCAAACCCAGGTCGACCCTGTGCGAGGTAAGCACCCTACTTGCTGTACTTTTGCTCTAGCCCTGGATTTCTCTTTTAAGGTTCGTGAGTTAAATATGATGGTTATAATTAAGCAGAGAATAGCAATATATATTGGTGGTTTTATATATATATATATATATATATATATATATATATATATTAGCTGGGCTGGAGCAATAGCACAGCGGTACGGCGTTTGCCTTGCATGTGGCCAGCCCAGCAGAGCTGGGTTCGGTTCCTCCACCCCTCTCGAAGAGCCTGGCAAGCTACCAAGAGTATCTCGCCCACATGGCAAAGCCTGGCAAGCTACCCTTGACGTATTCAATATGCCAAACACGGTAACAGCAGGTCTCACGATGCGAGATTACTGGACCTGCTTGAGCAAATCGATGAACAACAGGAGAACAGTAGTAGTAGTAGTAGTAGTAGTAGTAGTAGTAGCAGTAGTAGTAGTATATATATGTATATATATTAGCTATACTAATATATATACTAGTATAGCTAATATATATACTAACACTGTAGCACTGTCCTCCCATTGTTCGTCGATTTGCTCCAGCGGGCACCAGTAACATCTCCATTTGTGAGACTTGTTGCTACTGTTTTGGGCATATCGAATATGCCACAGGGAGCTTGCCAGGCTCTGCTGTGTGGGCGGGATACTCTCAGTAGCTTGCCAGGCTCTCCGAGAGAGACGGAGGAATCAAACCCAAGTCGGCTGCATGCAAGGCAAACGCCCTACCCACTGTGCTATCACTATATATATTACTGGTTCCATAAGGAGAACTGCAGCTCGTAGCCTAACACTTCATTTTCCTTGCTCGAGCGGGCCCAGTAACGTCTCCATTGGAGATTTTGTTGTTACTGTGTTTGGCATATCGAGTACCTCACGGGGAGCTTGCCAGGCTCTGCCGTGCGGGCGAGATACTCTCGGTAGCTTGCCGGGCTCTCCGAGAGGGGCGGAGGAATCAAACTCGGGCCGGCCATGTTGGCCGCGTGCAAGGCAAATGCCCTTCCGCTGTGCTATCGCTCCAGCCATCCTTCAGGGATGGCTTTCACCATCCTTTGTCCCTCACCATCCTTCTCGCTGTGCTATCAAAATTGCCTGATTACCAGGATAAGACAAGTTTTATTTATTTTCTATAAGCGAAGCGGGATTTGACCTAAATCCCTTCATATTTCCGAGGGGAACTTGCAGTTTGCAAGGAAGTTTAAGAGATGTCATCTCCAATGGGCTAGAGAGATAGTACAGCAAGTGGGTGCTGGCCTTGCACGCGGCCAACCTGGATTCAATCCCTGGCATCCTGGTCTACTGAATACCACCAGGAGTGATTCCTGAGCACCACCGGGTACGGCCCAAAAACCAAAAAAGAGTCATCTCCAAGGACAGCTGTGGAGAGTTTTAAGCACTTTGGCAGTGGTGAAAGTGCAATAAATTTGTACATCAGAAGCATAAACGTTAGCACTGTTGTAACCATACTACCTAAGCTACAATTTATTTTTTAAAATTTTTTAAAAGAAGTCAGTGTGGGGGTTGGAGTGATAGCACAGCAGGTAGGGCATTTGCCTTGCTTGTGGCCAACTGAGTTTGATTCCCAGCATCCCATGTGGTCCCCTGAGCACTGCCAGGAGTATTTCCTGAATTCAAAGCCAGGAATAATCCCTGTACATCACCAGGTGTGACCCAAAAAGAAAAAAAAAATCAATGTGATCTCAGGGCTGGCGACGGGGGTATTACTCAAAAGACTGAACCACATGTTTTACACATTCAATCACCCCTTAAATCCCTAGCCCTTGGCTCAAGCACCAAACCAAGAGTAGCCCCTTGTGGTCTTCTCCAAGTGGCCTCTCCCTGGCTGAAGAAGGGGAGAGTGCTTTAGGGGGATAGCGAACAATCCAAACCAAACTAGTGAAGAAATAAGCTCCTCTTCCAGATCATTTTCCTTTTAAATCTACATTATACAGATATAACTCACAAGACAGACTATGTCAAATGACATCTGGACATGTTCATACTCTGGTCTCATGAAGGGACTTCTCAAGATAGCACAGTTGTGATATGACTGGAAACTGTCCTCCGTTAAGCTCAGGGCAAGACCTGAGCTTCCAGAGTCAGTATTGATACTCTTTGATGAGACTGATCTTAGTATGTATGTATGTCTGGTTTTTGGTTTTGGTTTTTTGGTTGTTTTTTTTTTTTATGGGGGAGGGGAGAATTGTTTTTGTTTTTGCTTTTTGTTTAGTACGTGTGTATATGTGTATGTGGGATGGAAGGGGGTTGTTTGTGCGTTTTGGGGGAGGTTTGGTTGTTTTTGTTTTGGGGGTTTTGGGTTTTTTTTTTTTTTTTTTTTTTTTTTTTGCTTTTTGGACCACATGCAGAAGAGCTCAGATACTGCCTCCAACTCACTGTTGGAGATTGCTCTTGGTGATGGTCAGGAAACAATGTGATACTGGGAATTGAACCCTGACTTCCTTGTAAAGTATGCACTGCAGCCTATCAGTTCTCTCTCTGATCCCTGGTATGTATATGTATACACACTTAACAGATAACTAAGTTATCCAGATAACTTTCATAGCGATAAGCTATGTTGCTATCATATACCCCCTTCTTTGATGTAATGCGGTCCCTAATCTCGGTGATGCTCTTCCCAGAAAATGACAGGGCAGTTAATATGACAATATCAGATAAATCTGAATCGAGAAACATACTATAAGATAACATGCCAGTGCTCTACAAAAGATATCAAGGTTTAGGAAAACAGATTGAGAAACTGTTAACAGATCAAGGAGACATGTTGCCTAAATGTAGTGTCCCAGGAACAAAGAAGATCATTAGTAGAAAGACAGGTGAAATACAGACAAGGCCTTATTTGATTAATCACATTGTGCTAATGTTGATCTCTTAAATTTTGACAAACTTAAGTTTTGATAAACAGGTACCATTGTCTTATGTAAGGTGCTAATATCCAGGGAAGCTGAAACATCTGCAAGAGTTCTATATTGTCTGCAACTTTTCTATCCAAAATTGCAAAGCTTTTGTGGGGGCTAGGGAGTTGGGAGGAGGGGAGGTAAAGGACCCCACAAACAATGGTGCCAGGGACTTGCTTACTCATGGCTCTGTGCTCGGTTGCTTAGGGAACTATATGCTCTGTGGAGGAATCGAACAGGTCAGCTGTGTGTTTAAGGTTAAACACCTTAACCCTTATCCGGTCTGCCCCAACAACTCTTTTTGTTTTGTTTTTAAGTTTGTCTCTGTGTCTTGATAGGGTTTGAATTTTTAAGATTATTAGATTATTGTGAAAATGAGCATGAGAGTACCAGGGACAAATGAGATATATGAACTAGAGATATTTAACACGGAAAGTGTTTCCTGTCCTGTCATCAAGCCTGGTGGTAATCATCTCTATTAGAGATCGAGGGGCCGCAGCCATAGCACAGCGGGTAGGGCATTTGCCTTGCACGTAACCGACCCGAATTCAATCATTCAATCCCTGGCATCCTATATGGTCCCCCAAGCACCGCCAGGAGTAATTCCTGAGTGCAGAGCTTGGAGCATCACTGGGTGTCACCCAAAGAGAGAGAGAGAGAGAGAGAGAGAGAGAGAGAGAGATTAGAGATCATCGAGTGTCTCTGACATGGTTGAGGGGCACGGTCAACTAGAGCGACTTCAAGAGCAACAGCTCAGAATGTTTGTTTTTTCCCCTGCCCTTTCAGAGTGGGGTCTGGAGCTTATGAACAAGTTGTGATTAAACGCTAGGAATCAAGATCATGAGCCAAAGCTTCATTAAGCCATGACAGCTGAGTTCTGGAGGCACATGTTTCGAGCACTTGGGAGACCGTGAACCCTGCACGTCAGGGGGAGCTGACGCTGAGTGATCGGAAGTGCCCCACTCTTCACCTGCGCCCACGTGGAAGAGTGCTGCCATTCAGCCACGTGCTGTGTGCGTGGAAGCTTCCGGAGGCCCTGCATGTGATAAGGAAGACCCTGCTGTTTCTTGTAGAAAGAAAGCGGTGACCCACCCACTGGAGCTCTGATTGTTTACTTTTACATTCAAGAGACAATAAATGGATATCATTTAAACCCTCTAACTTCTGTTCAGATAGTTGTATGCTTCCTCCCAAGGAAACCTTCCATATAATGATACCTACAGTATTCTACTAAGTTTATTAACTCTCTTTGATGCCGTAATTGATATATGGGTAAAGTGTTAATGCTGCAGTTTTAAACACATAAAATGCTTAATAAGTCTACGTGTATCCATTGTAAATCAAGTGACAAGTGTGTTTTAAGTTCGAAATACGTGAGTGGGCACGATGCCAGTACTATACAGCATGTGTCGTGAAGTGTTAATAGTAGATGAGCAGCAGAACTCCCACTAGTGGTCTGTAAGACATTCGAGATACATTTGATATTTGGTGTGTTGGGCTACGTAAGGCGTCCTGGTATCAGAGCTGGTTTAACTACATGAATAACATCAGTCAGTTTCTGGAGTCAGATTTTAGAATAACAGAACTGCGATATGCTCAGAAACAAAGCCTGTTCCCTGGGAGCTAAGACTTACTTGGAACTAAAAATCATTCCAAGGAGTAGGAGGCAGGGACCTGCTACTTGATACGGCCAGTCAGGTGGGTGCTTTTCACTTTCGCTCCCTGTGATCAGATACGACGTTTTCTTAGAAGTTAGTAGTGTTGAGGCAAGAATAGACTATACCATGCATCAACTAGAGCTTTTTTAAGGCTCTCTGATCTGGATCCAGTTTCACAGCACAGCAGATAAACCTTAGAGATTTTCTAGTCTTTCATGACAGTTTGTGTGGAAGCTGTTTTCTTTAAATGAGTTGATAAAAATGTAAATTCTATTTTAAAAAATCAGTAATTCCTACTCCTTTCAAATCCATATCTGAGAAATGTAACGTTAAACTACAGTTGCTTTGGTCTACGTGTTCTCAGGTTGGCAAAATAAAGGAGGAAATATCTTTTTTAAGAAGACATTATTTTAATACCCAAATTTAGAGATTTGGAAAGAAATCTTACCAGTTCATGATTAGGGTTATTTTTTTAATCTTTCAAGAACTAAGCTTTCCAAATGAATTCAGTACTACTTTTCCAGATAGATGCTGAGATTTTTTAAAAGATGGCACTCGTTTAAAAAATACCTTGGTGAGAGGGTTTATGAGTCATTTAGCTATGCTTCTTAAAATTCGTTTTGAAGGAAAAAGTTGGCTTAAACATTTAGTCTCATCAGGGGACATATTAAATCTTAAAGACCTGCTGTCGAACTGGTCCACTCAGTATATATTATGGAAAAACAAAGATTTTAAAAGTGATATGAAGATACTGTTTAAGAGATATTTATTATGTCTTAAAACATATTTTTCTATTTTCCAAATATTATTTGAGGCTCTATTTTTTTGGTGCTTCTGCAAATGGTTTTGCAGCTTTTCAAGAGATAATAAAAATAAGGTTGTATGCAGGGTTTAGTGAGGACATTCTCAGTTACATCGAAGGTCCCTCAGTCAGGACACCACACCTATCTTACAGGTGTTTTTGACCTAATGCCTTTAAACTTTAGCAGCTGCCAGATATATCTTCATTTATGAAAATATAACATGCATTTAAATAAATAGGAACATTGCTTAGGGATCAAAAGGAAAAGATGGCATGTCCTTTGTAGTTCATGGGAGTTTGGATTAATTTTACTGTTTTTTTTTGTATTCCACCAACATACTGGACAATCAGAATTTCATTACAGTCCTTTGAAAATATTTGTGAACGGTTGCCTCAATGTCTACCCTAGTTTCTGCTTTTTATTTTCTTAAAACGTGAACTATTAATATCTTCACCATACTGCTGTTGAAAAAGATAATCTGAGTATTAAAGACCAAGTCTACTTTTGGTCCTCTTTTGAGTTGAGGGAAATAAATTGGAAAAAAGATTCGGTTAGCTGATTTTAAATATTAAAAGTCATATATCAAATTACCCAATCTTGGAAAATTTGCAGGTATATGTTATGTTGATTTCCCTTTTCTAATTCTAGCCTCAAGAAGATTAATGTATTTTCAGGTTATCTTCTTTTGCAAACAGGAATTAATAGGTTGCTTGGGGGAAATCCATAGACTAGTGGAGAGCCCACACTCTGTCCAGTGGAAAGCCCACTTCTGTGACTGAGCCAGTCACTGAGACCAGGAAGGATGTGAAGGATAGTAAGGCACAAAGCCCGAGGTTACCAACTCACACATAGGTGACTGACACCTTCAAAAACCTCTGAATTCAGACCACTGCTTATAACCTGAGAAAGTTCTGATCAGAAATCGAACATCTGCCCTTCCATCTCCCATTCTAGCAAAATACTCTATCCCAGTAACCAGATCCACATTTCTAGATTCTTATATTTGGGTGATTTTTTATTTTGATTTTGGTGGGAGGGTTTGCATGAAAAGTGGGGACCAGAAAGGTCATTTGTTGCTTTTAAAAAGAAGAAAATCCCAACTTGTACCAATCCAAACTTACTCAAATTTGAGTAGCCATAGGTTTCAGTAAATTAAAACATCCAGAAATACTTTAGATGATGTGATTTCCATACTAACTAGATCACTTTGCAAGCTCAAACTGGCTATGTGATTTAAAGTGAGAAAATCCAGTATAATACTCTGAGCAAAAACGGGGCTCTTGTGATGGGGTTTTATTTTATTTTAAACTGGGCAGTTCATAAATTAACCTTAGTCAATTCTCTTAAATGGTACATTATATGAACATAATCAAGTCCTATATATAGTTGAAACTGTGTTATGCCACTATTCATTGGTTGGCTTAGGTACTCTGCTTAATGTTAATAGATGGGATGTTAAAGATATGAAGTCTAAAAATTTAAAGGATGAAAAATATGTGCTTATTAACCATGTAAAGACTGCTCTGGAAATAAAGGCCTTATTAGTCCCTTATATATATGTGACTGTTTATAATATTATAACAGTGTAATTTAAATGTCTGAGTGGTCGCTAGCAATTCCCCATTGTTAAGAAGTTGAAATTTTAATTTACACAGTATACCCTGCACTTGCAGATTTTTGTATTCATCTTGTATATATGAAAGTTTTATGTGTATGTATCTCTTATGTATAACAAAGAAAATTCTCTGATATTTGTTGACCAAATCCTATCTAGAGAAACACATTCAGTTTTCTTTTTTTTAAATACAGTTTTGGGAGGATACCCTTCCTTTCTCATCCTCTGGAAGGTTCATACAATTGTGAGTAACCTTGCAAATGTTTATCAAAAAACTTATTGAAGTGATTCCATCAGTATTCTGTTCTAATGCTTGGGGAATGACCTTCATTTTTGTGTATGTTTTAACTGTAAAACTATAAATCCAAGAAACATTTCCTTTTTTATTTTAAAAAATTTTTATTGTAAAGCATTTGTAATAATGTAATGGTGAATCTTATACACATTCAATAAATCATATCTTAAAGTTTACAATGTTGTACATACCTTAAAATTTTAGTTAAGATTCTTGGCTAAAGGAGCCGAAGGCAATAATGCAGTAATAATGTGTGCTTTACATGTTTGAGACCCTGGTTTGACCCCGGAGACTGTGGGGCTCCTTGAATACCACTGAGAGTTCTGGAGGTTCCCCAGTGTCACTGGGTGAGGCCCCCGTGCCCCTAAGTACTTTTGGGGTGTTCCTGCTGGTCTTTACCACTGTAGGACCCTTAGTCTGGGTTACCACTGAGCTTTATGCATTGAACCCTTCACCTGGAGAGATCCCAGGGCCCCCTAAGACTGCTTGGGAGTTTTCCATCCCTCCCCCAAAAAAATACTGTAAAAATTAATGCCCAGCATAACCTTCTCTAAGGCTTTCATTTTCTTTCTCACTAAGTGGTTGAGCACAGACTCCAGTACCTCTGGTGAAAGACAGTTCTGTGAACTGAGGCAGTCCGTGCAGTGACCTGGTTGCACAGCACACCTAAATCTGAATTCAAACTCCCCTCTGGACGTATTCTAACACAAGATAAAGATGTTTCAGTAAGTGGGCCAGAGCAGTAACACCTTCCACCTAGCCAACCCAGGTTCCATCCCAGATGCCACATGAGTCCCCCCACCCAAGTCTTCTCACATGTGATCCCTGAGTACAGCCAAGGTATGGCCCAAAAACCAAATAATACAATAATAATGTCATCAAGTATTTCAGCTTGTGACAGTTCATGAGATAATACTAGGAAACATGCCATATAGGGGACACTTGGCATTGTTTTGTTTGGGGGTTAGAGTTTTTTTCCGTTATGTTTTTTATTGAGTTAAAACATTACATGACTGTGAATGTTTTATGGGTAGTTTTATGCCTTTTTTGTGATATCTTGAATTCATTTTCTCATCATTCTGGAGGCCAGAGTCTGAAAGAACATCAGTAGTCCATATTCCAGCTTGTAATAGATGCCAGATATTTTTAATACATAATACATTGGCTTATCCATTCACAACATCCTGAAATTTCAGGGTTTTAGCGTTGCACTTATTTTTTCGGTGTTTTTTTGGGGGGTCACACCCTGCAGTGCTAAGACTAACTCCTGGCACTGCACTCAGGGATCACTCCAGGTAGCAGTTGGGGGGGGGGTGCACATGGGATGCCGGGGATTGAACCCAGGTCAGCTTCGTACAAGACAAGTGCCTTAACCGCTGTACTATCTCTTCGGCCCCAAAGCTTTGCACTTTTAGGTGTAATGTCACCCCCAGCAACAAAGTTCCAGTGTCACCACCCCACCAGAAAGCCCCCTTTGCTATTTCTTGCTAGTCCTTTTCCATTTTCATAGTTTTCATCAAGTATAGAAGTAGTTTTTTTCTAACCAGTTAGGAATGTGTAGCTTTTTTTTTTTTTTTTGATTAGGGTTGGTTGGTTGGTTGGTTGGTTGGTTGGTTTTTTCGTTGGTTGGTTGGTTTGGGGCCAGCTCAGTGCTTACTCTTGCTTTTGCCCTCAGGGGTCACTCCTGGTGGGGCCTCAGGGACTATATATGGTGGGCCTGCTCAAGGCTCTGCTAGCCCTGTTTTGTTTTGGTTTTGCCCAGTATGTGTCTAAGGGAGTGCATTTACAAAGTGGGGAAGTCTGCCACCTTGTGGCACTGAGGTTCTGGGATTCTGTTCTGATCTCCCTCTTAAAATACTTGCAAAAAAAGCCTGAGACATTGCATATGCAATGCCATTAAGTAAGGAAAAATTGTTTTACTTGGCTGGGATTAATGTATGACCTATATATTCAGTTCTGTGAGCATTCCTAATGGGGAGTCTGGAAGTCAGAAGAGAAACCAAACAGTAGGGGGAAAAGACAGCCAATAAATGAATCTACTGCTGGTTCATGGATGAGATGTGGAAACGATATCTGGGAAAGATAATGAAAGACCCGATTTCTGCTGAGGTCACAGCAAACAGGATGAACTGGAGCAGATGGAAAGAACTGCCATTCAGGTCAAGAATGCAAACTGAAGAACTGGAGAGATAGCACAGTGGGCAGGGCACCGACCTTGCACACAGCCGACTGGAGTTCAATTCCCAGCATTCCATATGGTCCCCAGAACACTGCCAGGAGTAATTCTGAGTGAAGACCAGGAGTAACCTCAAACCAAAAGAGGCCCAAGTGATAGTACAGCAGGCAAGGTGTTTGCCTTGCACACGTCTGACCCAGGTTCATTCCTTGGCAGCATATACAGTCCCTCAAGTTCCATCAGGAGTAATCTATGAGCATTGCCAGGTGGGGCTCCAAAACTCGAAAAAGAAAAATCAAGTTGATGGGGATATTAAGAGCCCGACAGAGGGGCTGGGAGATAGTTCAGGTGGTAGAGCACACCCAGGATGCGCAAGGCCCTGGGTTTGGTCCCTAATGCCACACTCCCCACCCCAACCTCCAGCACAATTGTGCATCGTGCCCAGAGACCCCCAGCACTGCTGGGCCTGTGAGAGCACTGTTCTGCCAGACCAGGGAGCACAAGGAGTGACGAGCACTGCTGAGAGGCCAGGCTGTCGCCAGGAAGAAGTTAAAATTACACAGGCAGAGGCACTAACAGCTTATTTTGAAATGATGAAAGGTGTGGCGCTCCATGTCTCGAGGCTTCAAAAACTAATTGCAAAGAAATGACTTCAACACTTATTTGTGAGTCCTATCAGCTTGTTTTCTAGGTTCCAGCAATTCTTCCAAGTGCTCCCAATTTCCGGAAATCCTCAGAGATGTACATTAGCTAGGAGTTGGCGAGCCAGCAGCACCGGGCATGCTCTGTTCAAATGCTCGAGGCCCTGGCGACCTGTCAACAACAACAATCTCCTTGGGGTTCTGTCGGCACCTAAACTCAGCAAGATGATTTTGCTTGGGGTTCTTTGAGGATCACTGGCAGAGCTGAGAGCTTGTGTGGCAGTGAGCGAGTTAGGGGTAAGGGGCTAGACTCAGAGGTGTAACATTAGAGGCTACTCCCACCTCTGAACTCTGGGCTTGGTCCTATACTTACTGGGGCGGGGTGGGTGGGTGGGGAAGTCTTTGGGACCAGGGATTAAACCTGGGCTCCAGCATGCAAAGCTTTCTCTGGAGCTCTCTGTCCACTGTCTGAGAGTGAGACTGTCGCCAAGCTGCTTATGGGAAGGTCGGGAGTAAGAGGTAGGGAGAGAGAAGGGCTGCGAGGAGTGAGAACTCTCAGGGAGGAAGGAGGTGGGGCTGTCACTGAGAGATGTTTGTGAATCTTCTGGAAATGTTGCAGGGGCAGCATTTCACACTTTCAGTTGGACAGAAGCTAAGCATAGAGTGTTGGAAAAATGAAGCTTCTTGGAAAAATTCAGAAGGATTTTGAAATCATCCAGACCATGGGAATACAAATCTGGGGCAAATTTTTCTCAGTGGTCACAAGTCAGGGATGTTCCACTTGGTACTCCCAGGTACCTGCAACAGCGATTTCTCACCTACTCCGGTAATGAGAACTTTCTCTCCCCCCCAAAAATTGTGCATGTTGAAACTGACCTCCAACAGAACCCAATTTTTCCTTCCTTTCAGAGCAGTTTAATTTTGGAGAGAAAAAAATAATCTTACACTTTGGTTCTTTAGGACTCTATATTCACAAAACTGTGGCACATCCAGGTAATTATCCTAAAAACCAAAAGGCCACTACTTCTTGCAAAACTAGAATTTACTTATAGCTAACTGGGAAGCAACAGAAAAAAATCCTTAGATACATCTCTAGATAGTAAAATGTGGAGGTTGAGGGAAAGAAGGGACAGAGATGGAGTAAAAAGATAGAAAGAAATATTATTTTCATCCTTAGAATCATCTGAATTGTTCGCATGAACCTGTCCTTCTTTACCTTAACTTCTATTAGATTAAGTGGTAGAACTGGCAAGCATGAGATCCCGGTTTTGATCCCCAATGTCACAAACCCTCACCTCAACTATATTAAGACAAGTGTTCTGTGAAACACATGTGTAATTATAATAAAGTT